TTTTTAATTTTATGCACAAATTTATAGTCCATTATTTTATTCATTTATTTTTATTTTTATTCGACAGCAAATGATTTTCTAGAAAACTGTGCCTTTCAAAAAGTCTAAATTTTGTTCCTCCAGACACATTAATACGTTTAAATGTTGCTTGCGTATAATAAAACGACTACAACACTATTTTATGAAAAAAGAAAAACAAGCTTTGTGAAACCTAGAAGTGCTCTGTGGAAGAAATGCATTTCCACCACATTAGTGAACAAACAACAGGTGTCATTTTAGACTGCTATTGTTTCTTCTATCAATGCGATGTTCTCTACTCAAGTATTACTGTGTGTGTGTGTGTTGTAGAATAAAAGGGTGACACACTGAGTGCATTGTTTCCTATCCTGTAATAGACCAAACAGACCTACATCCTAATTGCACACACAAACCCTATGAACCAGAGCTGAATGTGTATCGACAAGGCAAAGGAAACGGGGAAAAATACAGATTGCTCATGAATGGACAAATATTTCCTTTATTTATGTGACTGTCCCAGATATTGACTGCTTGAATGCATGGCTGTCAGTCATTATGTGCCGCCCTCTGTGTAGTTGACCTTAATGTGCAGTCTGTGCAAATGCTTCTTTATGCCCTGAGTGTCTTAAATGTACATAGCTATGAGTGTGTGTGTGAATGAGAGTCAGGAAAAGCAATAGGAAACGGCGTCTGTGTGATAAAGTGTAGCGCAGGGCGGCGTGTCCGTTCCTGTCTCTCAAAGACACAATACAGTTCAACCCCCGTATTCCCTATAAACCTCATCCGTCCTCATATTCCCAATCAGCGCTCGTAATTATCCGGTTCAGGGCTTCATTTCCTACCCCGTGAGATCCTGTGCTGGGAATCCGCTATGGCAGCTGCCAGCGGTTCCACACGTCTTTGTTGTGACTGGATGAAATAGTACTCTGTAAACGTGCCGTCTCTGAGTCCTGGGTCGTGGTCGGATCAAAGGCATGTCAGAGAGTGTTTTGGAGGCCGAGCCAATCTAAACGGTTGCTTTAGAAGCACAAAAAGCCATTAATCATTTCAAGAAGGGTTCAACAAGGGCCCTAATCCTAACAACTTAAGCAATAATGATTGGAAATGGTCACTGACCATAACTTGAATTGAGCCCAGAACTCAGACACATCTGCCAGAGACAGAAAACTAATAATGAAATGTCGCCTGCCTGAGGACATCTGTCTGCAAATGTGTTTATCTGTGACGTCAACACAAAAGCATCTGTGCCACTGAATTTACATGGACATCAGAGTCCATCCTGCTCCTAGTTACTGATATATGAAGAATGTTCACATTTACATGCCGCTGACATGCACCACCACCCATCATTTTACAGTATGGAGAAGGAATATCTATGATTGTTACTTAAAGAAACCTCTTTAAAGAGAGATTTAGTTTGTTTTTATTACAAATAAATGCTATTTATACCAAGATCATAAATGACACCAAAAAGTTACAAAATTAAAATATAATAGATCATTCACTTATCATAACACCTCTTAAAACAGTCAGTCACGACTCACATAATAAGTGAGATGCATTTAACCAAGTTTGATGTTCTCAAGACACTTTTGGAATTGAACACGAATGCAAATGAAATTTGAGAGCGTTGATGAAGGGGAAGATTATCAGTATTGGACTAACTCACACAAAACTATCATATGACTTTGGAAATCCTAGAATATAGTGGACTTTATACTGCTTTTTGTCCTTTTTGAAGCTTGACATTATGTGTGTATTATATGGAAAAGCGCAGCTCAGGGATTCTGCCTTCATATCTAATTTTGTCTTTCATGGACAATTTTTGTGTTTTTGTGAATGTTCCGTAAATAACGGCAGAGCCCCTTTACAGCCCCCACCTACATTTCTCGCTATTGCTGTTTATGCAAGAGCCTCATTACAAGGTGTTAATGAAAGCCATGGGGGTCTAAGAACCCCCCTCCCATCTGCAGAGAGCATGACTGTGAGGGACTGCCCCATTTCACCTGAAACCTCCTGCAGATCAGAATCCGCCCAGCATTACAGAAACTCCTCAGCTTCATACATTAAAAACATTGTTTTGGAGTATTGGACTATTTCCAGAAGCAAAATCAATGATATTTGGTGGAATCAATCTTCTTGAAATCATGGGGGCAGGTTGGAAAAAGGCACCATATGGTCTACAAAGGTCTTAAGAGTTATGAACAATAAACAATAGGGGATGTTTCCTTCAGCAAGCACCACGAATGCTCATCAATGCATCATTCTTCCTCCCTTGCGTTATTTGTCTCTTAGTTCTCAGTTGATCATTTTGTCCCCTTCATATTCTTACAGAGAAGCAGTGTGGATGTAGCCTCTCATAGGGACTTACAAACCAGTGCAGTTTCCACAGTCTCCCTGTCTCATTCCTTTTGTGATCTTTTCAGATCTTTTTTTTTTTTTTCAGGCCTGGTTAAGATGAACCCATCAGGCTTTTTTGAGAAAGATCACCTCATCACTGTGATCAGGGTGTAGGGATGGTTGGGCATTGAATCAATACCCCCTGGTATGGAAATCTGACCTGACGGATACTTAATAATAGCTTCCCCCCTGCGAACAAGCCTCACAAACCCTGCCACTTCCTACATCTACACCTCACACTGTCTACCTTTAGACCAACAACTCTAAAATTGGCAAAAAAAATCAATATTATCTAAATGATGAACCAGCCATAGTCTATGGATTATTGAATTCATCTGCAAACTAAAGCTAAGGTAATCAGTTGATACAAATAGACTATTATACAAATCATACATAATATGTGATGTGGTTTCATCAAACTGATGACATAGGCTATTATAATGATTAGTACACCATAACTAAAACATTTTTTTAACACTTTCTAAACTAAAATCATTATAAAATGTTTGTTCTGTTTAGTATGATTATCATACAATAATAATGTCTAAATGCATTTAATAGACGATGAAAACGCTGGTTTCGCGTTACTAAATGATGACCAAACTAACGTAGCTCATGAATATTACGTAGCCTATAATTGACTGCCCTTTAAACTAAATTAATACAAGCCAAGTCTTCACCATTGTAGGATTTGCTACACGTCTAACGCCCACTAACAGCCTAGTTTTAGCCAATCAGCTAATTTTGTTAAATAAACTTCAAATGAAAGTAATTTCATGAAACAATTGAGTCACTGCAACAGTAACGTTAATTCGCTTGTTACTCGACGCACGAGAGAGCGTCAGCGACAAAAGTTTTCTTTTCGGTAAGATTTCATCTATTTACGTAAGGTATAACCAAAATGATACGGCTCCAAACCACAATAGAAAATTAAAGGGAGCAACTGAAGTAAATGACAGTAAGTTGCGTGCTGCAAAGCCTACGTAGGAAAGTACACAATCAATCACAAACTGTATGACAGATGACAGACTTTTTTGTAGACGGTAAGCTTCGAATTCGGGGCAAAAATGAGAGAAAGAACAGGTTTTTTTCCCGTTTTGAAACAAGTTGACACACGCCCGATCAGACGTTTACAAGTAAACAAATGTCAGACCCGTGGCAAATGCAGCACGCGATTAAAAGAGGTCTCGAGACGCGTTTTAAAACTTGAACCACGATGTTAAAACCCTAATAAAACAAAACAAAAAACTCCAAAACCCGACTGAACAGCGAAACCCTTCACTTTGACGCACATACAATCAGGAAAGCTATTTTAAATAAAAAGGCAGCTATTGACGCGTTCTCAAGTACAGAAATATAGTAGATTTACCTTGAACTGCAGTTAGAAAATGAACGCAGAGCAAGAGAGCCCAAAATACATCCATCAGTCCTGTCTTCAATTTATGTCCAAAGTCCTCTACAATTTTCCCCGCCGTGATGACAGAAAACTTGTATATTCTTTCTCTTATTCCTGTGTGTTGTGGACCTGTAGGCTCTTACAGTAAGTTATTTATCAGAAGTGAACCATAGAAACGAGAATATGTCCTTCACTCTGCTGTCTCCCCCTCCCTCCAAATCACTCCTCCCACTATAGGCTACTACAAATACAAGTTATACTACACTTTTTAAATTCATTGAATTATAGTAGCTAATTAAACCAATTATAATTTAAAGTTTACGTTTGGTATTATGTGGTAAATATTAATTTAAATATAATTATAATTTAATTTAAATATTATATTAGTATATTTCTGGAAGTTTTTGTTTTCAGTGATAATAAATTGGTTTTATACAGAGTTTGGATGACTGGATTTTGAGATTATATTCTGACCAGATTTTGGCTTTCGTTCTTGAGAGAACTGCTTGAGTGATTTTTGTGGGGAGACAGTGGTATCAGTTTTGATGCCTATTGATGGCATACAGACACACATCAGTACCCTGCACACACCATCAGGTTATGCAAATGAAATTCATACTTGCTACACCAGTTCACTATGATACCATGAGATAAGGGTGACTCCATAGTCTGTTCCGAAGAAAACATGCAAATACTTTCATCAAAGTGCATAAACATTGCCCTGCTATCTAGACATAGATTCAGAATTTTTGAGGCACTGGTCATTGTTGTATACTGAGTTGTGTGTTTATTTAATACATTTTTAGACATTTAAAGCACTTTGTGTTGTTTTTTTAATGGGCTACTCAAATAAATGTTGATTGATTGATAGCATACACCATGTTCAAATTTTAGATACAGAATTATTATTATTACTATTATTTTAGCTAAATAGTATATAATACACACGCTTTATTTTAAGGTGTCCTTGTTACAGTGTAATCATACATAACATAATTAGGGTTGGGGTTTGGTTTAGAGTTAGTTGCATGTAATTATGCGTAATTCCCTGTTATTACTAGAGTAAGTGCATGTAACATATGTAACAAGGACACTGTATGTTACATTTGTCCTGTTGGATTACTCTTTTTATTACTGTAAAAATGTTCCAAGTGTTTAATTATTCACGTGTCATCTGTCTCCACAGACGTCCACCACCGTGTGGGTGCAAATAATTGATGAAAATGACAACGCACCTGAGTTTCCGGAGGAAGAGTATGTGACGGAGCTCAGAGAGGGGCCAAACACTGTAGGAGCCATCATCGCCACAGTTACAGCCATCGACCCTGACGAAGATCTCAACGGAACCATCCGTTATGCCATCTCCAGGGGCAACCTGGCCCAGACCTTCCAGATCAATAGCGTAACGGTGAGTGACAGACAGGAAACTGGTTTAGAGATACTCTGATGTGTTTGGTGTTATTGGATTTGTTTTTTTGTTTGTTTGTTTTTTGCGCTGTTTGTGTTTTTTCGTTCCTAGAAATTCGTAGAAAACCTTGAAAATGTCAGGGAAGTTTAATAACTTTATTTTAAAAAAAGTTACTGTTTGAAATGCGAGAAATATTTTTTCCATCTGAATGGTCTGAATAGAAAGTTCAAAAGAACAGCATTTATTTTAAATAGAAATTTTTTATAACATGTCTGTCATTTTTGATTACATACATGCATTTTTGCTAAAAAAAAAAAAAAAAAAAGTTGATATGTCACAAATGACACTTTTTTTCTGAGAATGGCCCTCCACTGCTGCTGTGTTAATTGTGTGATTGTGTGTGTTCACAGGGTCAGATTGTTGTCTTTAAGGAACTGGATTATGAGATCAGTAACGGTCACTATGTGCTGACGGTCACAGCCACAGACCAGTGTCCTATACCTCAGTTTAGACTGACCTCTAGCACCACAGTGAGTTACACGTCTGCTTCACTTATAATCCTCACGATTCCTTTATACGACACTCACACGCTGTCCTGTACCGCAGGTCCTGGTGAATGTGGTCGACGTGAACGATAACGCACCCATCTTCCCGAGTTCATTCGAAGGTCCGTTTGATATCCCAGAGGGTCAGCCGGGCCCACGTGTCTGGACCGTTAGAGCCACGGATGCCGACTCTGGATCCAATGGAAAAGTGGAGTACAGCATCACTGCAGGGGACCTGAAAAGTGTGTGTGATGGACAGCTGATTCAGATCCAATCAGAAAAAGTATTAGTGTTGATATTTCTTGTGTTTTTTGTCTGCGGTAAAGATGTTTTTATTCCTTTGTTTCTGTCTCTCTTTATCCCAGATGAGTTTGTAATCTCTTCAGTTGAGGGAGAGTTGAGAGTGAGGAGAGATGTAGAGCTGGACAGAGAAACTATCGCCTATTACAACATCACCATTACTGCCAAAGATCTGGGAACGCCAGCGCTCAGCGCTATGGTACGCACGCACACACTACTACGCACAAAAATATGAACTTATGGTAAAGGGCATAGTTTTGATTATTTGGAGAGACAATGTTCATTTTGGGACATTCACTAGTGAAATGTCACCATTGGGTGCCATTCAAATCCAATTGTTGATATCAAGAATTGATTTCTTACTAGTTGAAATTCCAATTTCACATATCAGAAATACAGTTATTACTAATAAAAACCTTTATTTTTGATATCAAGAATTCAAATTTACTAGTGGCAATGTTAATTTCTGATATCATGAATGTGATTGTTACTAGTAAGGAAGCCATTTTAGATATCTGGAATAATATTGATATCAGAAATACATTTTCAGATATCGAAAATGATCATTTTTACTAGTACCAATTGAATTGTTGCTATGAAGGATAGACATTTCAACTAGTGACAATTTAATGATTGATATCAGGGATTCTCATTTTTACTAGTAACAATGTAATTGTTAATATCAAAAGCCTATGGTGAAATTTCACTTGTGAAAAAATATGTACAGATATCAGCAATTAAATTGTTGATATCATAAAATGTAATTGTTGATATCAAAAATCGAATTGTTTATCAAGATCATCATCATATCCTGGAAATGAATAAAAGCTAAAACGGCTTGCCATAGGACGGGGCCTAAATTCATTATATTAAAATTCATTATTACTTTAGTTTGATCTTCATCATCTAAAAACGGCATGTTTGGCCATTAAGGCTGAATGATTGATTTAAATCAAACTAAAATCGCGATATGGCTTTAGATGCGTGTTTTAGAGTGAATCGCAGCTCTGAAGTTAGATTGTGATTTAAAAATGAATCAATTAAAACTGTTTGTGCTGTTAAATAAAATAATTGATTATATTATTTTTATAAATTATTTTATAGTAATATTAATAATTATATTTCTGCTTTTATATTTTTAAATAAATATTATTTTATAGTCATACTGACATATAATCACAAACCTTTTGGCCAAATAGTGCATCCCTAAAAACGATCACAGCAAACCTGGAGCTTTTATCACTATCACAGTTTTTATCAGAAAAATCACAATTCGATTTTTTCCCTGAAATTGTGCCTTCTCCTTTTTTTGTTCTCCATTCTTCACCACCATTAAAAACATTGAATGGAAATCCTAATCTGTTGTCAATATTGCTCCCAAGTAGCCAATATTACATAATATTACATAATGCATGCACAGATCAACTGGAAAAATCTAATCTTGCATAATTTGTATTATGGTTTATGTTTGAATTAGAAAGCAGTGAATCACTTATATTTCCCATAATTCATGTGGTGGTTTTGTTTTTTTTCTGTATCAGGTGACAGTGGGCATTCAGGTGTTGGACATTAATGATAACGACCCCGTCCTGCTCAACTTACCATTTAACACCAGCGTGAGCGAGGGAGCAGCGATTTACACTTCCATCTATCAAGTGCGGGCGCAAGACTCTGACAGCGGCCGCAACGCTCTCCTTACATACAGCATCACTGCCGGTAACACTGATGGAGCGTTCTACATTAATGAGACGGTAAGAGACAGGGGGATGCGGGACACAAACAGCCTAGGGAAAGAATAAGGCAAGGAAATAGTAATGTAATAGTGAACACTGAAAAGACTGATGTGTTCTCTCCTCCAGTCAGGTGTGCTTCAGGTGAACAGGCCTCTGGATAGAGAGAGAGTGGCTGAATACAGACTCACCATCACCGTCAAAGACAACCCAGACAACCCTCGCATCGCACGCAGGGTAAATAACATGACACAACACAGCATATCCGGCTAAATATGTGTTTCACAGACTGTGTGAATATCACAATCAGGTTAACAACTGCAATGACATTTTTCACTCTGCTCAGGACTCAGATTTGTTGGTAGTTGCCGTGCTGGATGTGAATGACAACAGGCCCATCTTCACCCAGACCAGCTACAGGGGCGAAATCAGTGAAAACTCACTCAACGGTACCAAATGTTCTAACCACCTAACCACCATTATTAGGGTGTGTTCACATTGGCATTTTAACATCAAACCTAAAGATAGCGAAACTAGGTTATGGTTATTATGGTCACAACCTGATTGGCTTTTATTACGTATATTTCGATGGAACTTACCAACAGTGTTGTGCAAGTTACTTCCAAACTGTAATACATTAGGTATTACTTGTTACTGTTATTTAAAAGTAATTCATTACCTTACAATATTACTGTCTCAGAATTGTAATGCGTTACATTACTCATGTATTACTTTTGAGTTACTTTCACCAAAATAACTAAGTAGAACTTAACTTTGGGGCTGTAACGATATGCAATATGAAACCAAAATAGCGACACACCTCTTCCAACTCCAGCGTTATTCTCCTTACCGTCCATATCCAATGCTGCCTTATCTTTAAATTAGGCTATTAGTATTATTTGAATTTAACATTATAAAATACGTAGACCTACACCACAAAACTAGTTGAGGATAAATTATTTAAAATTGGGTCCAGCATTATGGACATGATGACATTTGCAGTCAAAACTTGAAATAAAAATTCTCAGAAAATACATGTATTGAAACGTATATAGGCTACTTCCTTAAAGGACTCCAGACATTAGACAAATATCAGTCTGTTTTATTTTTAATATTAAGGAAAAGACACACATTCATGCGTGACAAAAAAATAGGAGGCAAAATATATTTTTTGTAATTCTGTTAATTACACTGCGCAAATCGGATGAGGAAGGGTTGGCTCTCCAGTCTCCATAGAACTTAAAATATTCATTTTATTTTAGTTTTCGTGTTCGCATTTATGAGGAAAAAACAATGTTACAGACGCGACCGCTCTGAACTGGCACTAAAAGACTGCTTTAAACCTTTCACATAGTCTGTTGCCTTTAAAAGAAGTAAAAGCAGACAATACACTGTAATACAACTGTAATACAAGCCTCACTGAACATGTAACGAGTAAAATATTACTGAAAATTGATTAGTAATGCCTTACACTACTGCGTTACAGCAAAAAGTAATATGTTACTGTAATGTATTACTTTTGTAATGCGTTACTCCCAACACTGCTTACCAAACATCCAAAACAATGCTGTGTGCTGGGATATATGCGCTCGTTGTATGTGCGCACCTACTTATGATGGTGTTTTGAACTCGTGAAGAGATATAAAATGTCAAAAACAACGGCAGGAGACGTGGTTCTGAAGCCTGTAATTCGGCAAAATCGGTATGCTTGAGCATTCTGACCTTTTTAGGGTCTCATCTTGTGACATCTTGTCCCATTTTTGGTTCGTTTAAATGTCTTTGCTCCGTGTTGTGTTCATATTTCATTCAAACCGCACCAGAGTTCGTTTGGAAGTCTTTTCAGTGGTTTCGGTCCTCTTGTTTGGTGCACACCAGGGTTCAGATATCAGCGTTCATGCTTATTTAAATGAGCCTTACTAACGGTTCGTTTTAATGCCATTTGTGAACACACTCTCAGGAATGAAATTGTCCCTTCAAAGAAAGTGAAGAAGCTTTTTTTTTTCATTGATGAGAAATTGAGTTCAAAAGCAGCTCTACAGAGGATAATAGTGTGATCACCCAGCTCATGTCAGTTCAAGTTTAGTTCTCATCAGAAAATGTCAGTGCAGTCAAATCATTTGACTAATTTGACTATTTGACTAATATAAACACATTACACCAGTGCTGGTCTCGCTTCACTGGCTACCGGTTAAATTCAGAATTGATTTTGAAGTTCTCTTATTTGTTTTTAAGTCATTGCAGAACCAGTCTCCAGTACTTATCTGAATTACTTCTCCTAATCACTTGGACTCTAACTTACTATCTGTCCCTGGAACCAGACTGAAAAACAGGGGGATCGAGCCTAGTTTGCCGCCTTCAGACCTAGGCTATGGAATTGTTTACCGGCTTACATCAGATCTGGCCAAACTTTGTCAATTTTTAAATCTTCTTTGAAAATGCATGTCTTCTCAATAGCTTTTAATATATCTTGATGTGTTTGTCCATATATTGTACTTGTATGTCCTTGTTAAGCACTTTGGTCAACGACAGTTGTTTTTAAATGTGCTATACAAATAAAATTGCATTGTACAGTATATCACACACTAAATTCAAGATGCACAGGGGTCATGACTTATGAATCGTCATCACCTCCCTCTTTCTGTCTGCATGTCCATCAGGCACCACAGTGTTGATCCTGAACGGCCCTGTTCTAGCAGAGGACAGAGACATTGGGGTGAATGCAGTGGTGAGGTATCGTCTCCTGGGAGCCAGAGTGGACCTCTTCTCGATAGACTCCCTCACAGGTCAGAAGTTCAGCACAGATGTTATGGGTTATGTTCAGGGCTTGACATTAACACCCGCCAACCCACCAAATGCGGGTGGATTTCACCCGTGGTGGGTTAACACAGTCACTTGCCACTTTGGCACGTTGAAAAATTGTAGTCTTGTCAAAAAACATCTGACATAACTAACGAATTGCATTTTATCAATAGGACACTACAACTCCCGCACCAAAATATGACATCCAGGCTTTTATATCACATCCTATCACAACTATCTTTCCAGAGTTAATTCTATATTTTAATAAAAATTAATCATGCCATGAAAGATGCATTTGTGGGAATAATCTGGAAAATAAAGACCTGTAGGCCTTGTTTCAGGTGGACATATCTCCAGTAACTCAGAGCTGATGCAAAACAAACGATCCAAAGTCCCCAAAACTATATAGGCCTATATAAAGTTGTAATCCTGTTGCCTTAATTGTGAATTTTTTCTTAGAAAAAATAATTTGTTGTTTCTAATGAAGATAATTGTTCTACTCTGTTTTACAGTATTTACTGCTGTAAAAAAAAAAAAATGATGCTGCACTTTTATTATATGCAATAAGGCTATGTAGAGAAAATGCAAAAGTAGCGTTGCGTCATCAATTTTTATTCTGCGTTTAGACGAGCGTTTTGTGTGGGAAATCCGTGTGCAAATGGTGACGCAAAAGTGTGTGAAATTCAATTTAGTTTGCACTTCAGGCGGCTAGGAGTGCATACTACAACAACACCAAGTCCACGCGCCTGCGTACAACCTTCACTGTCAAGCAGACTTTTGCGTTTTTACCGTTTACATGGGAACGCGCCGGTGGAGCGTTTTTAAGATTTCCACTCTGGAGGGTGGTTTCACTTTTTTGCGTTTTTAAGCTTCAACGCTGTCGCCGTGTAAACGAAAGGCACATCCGATAAAATATTTTTACATTTTCACCCGCGAGCGTTCTCGTGTAAACAGGGCCTCAGAAGCTATTTTTATGTATTTATCTTAATAGACAACATGTTTTCAAAAAAGGAGCTTTTAAGCTAATGATAATATTAGTACATTTGCACGTTTTAAGCCCCATTGTCAACTTTAATCATATAAAACTTAAATTTCAACAAAAATGTGGCTAGTAAAAATGCTGCGTGGCTAGTAATTTTGGAAAACATTGGCTAGTGAGCAAAAAAGTTAATGTCAAGCCCTGGTTATGTTCATTTTTTGTTTTGTTTTGTTAATGTTGTCCACTGGTTTCATTGGTTTCACCTTTTTTTTTTTTTTTTTTTTTACAAATATTCAAAGGTCTTACATTGAATTCACTTTAACATGCAGATACTTTTATTTCTGTGGTGTTGTCAGATATACATGATTACAACCCTCACACCCACAGAGTTTCTCGTAATCAAGCACCCCTCCCACTTGTGACACATTTTCTTTCCCACCCCGCTCTCTCTCCGTCTCTAGGGCTGGTATCAGTGCGTGGGGGTGCTGTTCTGGACCGGGAGGCTTTCTCTGTGCCTCGGGTGGAGCTGTTTCTACTCGGGGAGGATGTGGGAGGTTTAAACAGCAGCGTTCCACTCACAATCACTATCCTCGACATAAACGACAACCCACCTGTCTTCAATCCATCCAGTTTCACTGTACACCTGCCAGAGAACAGCCCCACGGGTGAGAGAAACTGTATAAACTGATGGAGCTGGATTAACTGGTGGAGGGACTAGTATAATCTGGTTTGTTGGTCCCATTTGCAGTATAGTGGGAGTGTGTGTGATTGTTGTTATAATAATAATAATAAATTAATTAATACCCATGATCAGCTCTACCAAATGTGGATGTTTTTCCACTAAGAAACAAATATTGTTATTATGTTTTGATTGATACTGTGAAGCTGCTTTGATGCAGTCTATATTGTAAAAAAGCGCTATATAAATATACTTGACTTGACTGACTTGACTATAGTATTAAAAACATTAAAACTTAAATAAAATGAAAAACATGCCATTAAACAAATAATTTAAATATAGGCTAAAGTCTTTGTTGTTTGTACATTAATTTGAGATTTAATGTGAAAAATTATTACAAAATTAAAATACATTAAAAACCTTGAATGTTAGGTGTAATTAATCGTGATTAATTACAGAATAAGTAGTTAATAAGTAGTTAATTTGTTTTAATAGATTGACAGCACTTAAGATGACTAAAACTTAAAATAAAAAATAAAAATTAAATAAAATAGAATTAATAATAATTTATTAATTATTATACATTTTTGGCGCAAGGCGTGATCTTCCCCTCAGTTAAAATTAATTAAATTTAAATAATTTAATTAAATAAAATTAAAGAGCCTCTGAAAATATAAAAACTAGTTCAAAATATTAATAAATAGTATAATTGTATATAAATAATACTAAAGTAACAATAAATAAATATCAGTTTCCTATTGAATTTATATTATATAAATTATATAAATATATATATATATATATATATAGTGGTCAACATTTAAAGTAAATCAAAACTTTTCTTCAAAGTTATACATTCTGAACAAAACCCTTTCTTGTCTTAGGACATCTTTGATGAACTTTTTGTATCCACTTCAAATGTTGACTACTGTATATATATGCATACACACACAGAGACATACTATTGTGTTAAAGATGTGTAATGTGGTGTTGTGTGTATTTTCAGGTGTGGTAGTAACGCAGCTCTCGGCGAGTGACGCTGACGCCGGCTCTAACGGTTGGTTGCAGTATCGATTAGACACCGGCGCTCAAGACCGTTTCATCGTTGACGCTCTCTCTGGTGCGGTTCTGGTCGGCAATGCTACACTGGACCGGGAGGAACGTAGCTCGTACCGCCTGGTAGTCATAGCAACTGACCGAGGCACGCCCTCTCTCTCCGGGACGGCGACATTGTCTGTTGTTCTAGATGACATCAACGACTCACGTCCTCGTTTCATACGGCCCGTGCAGACGATCAGCGTCAACGAGTCAACTCCACCTGGAGAGGTTGTAGCTACGCTCACCGCCGAGGACCCTGATCTACGACCCCGCCTGGAGTATTACATCATCTCTGTGGAAGCAAAGGATGATGGGAATAATCCAGTGGATGGGCTGCAGCAGTCGTTTGGGATTGACTTCCACACAGGTGAACCACATTAGAAGACATCTTTGTTGCACTTTTGGCCCTCTGAGATGTCACATACTGTTTAACTCTTCTTCTGGAATTCAGGAACTAAACACTACATTTTTATTAATAATCTATTTTCTACGGATAAAATTAACTCTGTTGTGCTCTGTTTTTTTAAAATATTTGTGTCCATCTTCTCAGGGGCTGTGTTTGTACGAAACCCCTTGAACCGAGAGCTGGTTGCCACTTTTGAGATCATCGTTTCAGTGCATGACAACGCCAGTGATGTCATTGACATGTCAGTCAGTGTACCTAACGGTAAGAAAGATCTCTGTCTGTCTTTCTCTCTTTCCTCTTTTCTACTGTTGTTCGTCTATTGAAACCTCCTTTTAAAGGGATACTCCACTTTTTTTGGAAATAGACTAATTTTATCACTCTCCCAGAGTTAAACAGTTGGGTTTTACCGTTTTCGAATGTGTTCAGCTGATTTTCTGATATTTAGAAGAATATCAGTAACCAGACAGTTTCTGGTCTCATTGACTTCCATAGTAGGAAAAAATATATACTATGGAAGTCAATGAGACCATAAACTGTCTGGTTACTGATATTCTTCTAAATATCAAAAAATCGTCTGAACACATTCGAAAACGGTAAAACCCAACTGGAATAGTTATATTGCAAACTTTTTTTTCTTTCTTGCGCCTATTGAAAGACCAGAATGTGATCAGGACGACATGTCCCCACCAGTCTAAAGTTAACCAGTTTTGCCAGACTATCCATGCTGGTTTGTCAGGTTTTCCTTTCAATAGTTTCCATCATCTATCTAGACCAACACTAAACCAACCTGGGGATAATTATTTACTGTTTATCAAACTCATCTAAATTGTATTTCTCTCCACAGCCAAATTGACCATCAACGTGCTGGACGTGAATGACAACGCTCCTCGTTTTCGCCCTTTCGGCGTGGCGAACTTCTCCGAGAGGATTCTGGAGGGTGCTGTGGCTGGTACCACACTTCTGTCGGTGACAGCTGTTGATCCTGATAAAGGACCCAATGGACAGATCATCTACCAGCTCCTGCACCTGCCCCGTGGAGACTACATTAGACTTGAAGATCCATCTACAGGTTGCACATTTGCATTTTTGCAACATTTCTATTGACCAATCAGTGTTCCAACCCTAACACCTTGCTGATTTAATTCCACCTCTAAACTATATCACGGACAGTGTTGGGTGTAACTAATTACTAAGTAATTACTAAGTAATTAGTTACTGTAATTTAATTACTTTTCCCTTGAAAATGTAAAGTAAGGGACTACTCTTCATTTATCTGTAATTTAATTACAGTTACTTCTGATGTAATTGAGGTAAATACTGTGTATACATTAATCCGATCTCACAGCGATTCGAGGTGTCTAAATATTACGACCGCACTTGTACAAATTCGTATGAATTATTGTAAAATATGAATGAAAAAAGTGTGAAATGTCATGAGATCAGACATAAAACAATAGTGGGTTTAACATCAAAATGTATTGTCTGATGTTAAAAAGTATGTTTTTATCATGTAACCTTCTTCACCTTGGTCTGTTTAAGGATAATTCATGCAATTTTATAGTGTTTATTTGAAAGAATTAAAACAGATTCATGTCTATCCTTGTATTATTCAGCTGGTTGAGATTGATATGGGATTTTTAAAGTAATTAAAAGTAATGAAATACTTTTTAGAGAGAGTAATTAGTACGGTAATCTAATTACACTGTTGAAGAGGTAATTAGTAACTAGTAATTAATTACTTTTTTAGAGTAACTTACCCAACACTGATCACGGATGTCTTTCGATATCACCATCCACAGGTAAAATTGTGGCCAATCGGACGGTAGATTATGAACAAGTGCAGTGGTTGAACTTCACGGTGCGTGCTCAGGACTATGGCTCACCTCCTCGCTTCGCTGAACTTCCTGTCTATCTGCGCATCGTCGATGTCAACGACAACAACCCAGTCTTTCAACAACCTTTATATCAGGTACATCAGCACAGACCAGAGAATCAGGCTACTACTTCCCAGTTGCATTCAGGAAGCATTATATAATAACTCCTACAGTGGGGTCAAACAGTCTGAGACTTAAGTGAAAATGCTTCTGTGTTGCTTTTTGGGAACTTTTTGATTACTCATTATATTATGAATTGTTAGGATTGAGTATGACCAATGTCACTGATTTGCTAGAATTAGAAATAGTGCAGAAAATGCTTATTCTGCATTTTATGTCATGTCAAAGATTTTAAATCTTTTCAAAATTGTTGTAGACTTTAAGGACCTCACTGTATTTGAAAACTATGTTAAAATATTTTTGTGTAAAAAAAAAAAGAAGTATGGTTTCCAAAAAAAAAAAAAATTAAACAGCACAACTATTTTCATCATTTTCACATGTTTCTTGATCAGCAAATCAGTCATCCGAATGATTTCTGATCATGTATCACTTCTGCTGAAAATTCAGTATATAAAATAATATATGTTAAAATAGAAAACAGTTATTTTTAATATTAGTTGATCAAATAAATGCAAACTTGGTGAGCATACAATAAGACACTTTTAAACCAAAGTGTTTGTGTATGTGTGTACAGAAGTCCATTTTTGAGGATGTTGCACTCGGCACCATTATTGTGAGCGTGAGTGCGACAGATGCAGACTCTGGCCTGTTTTCTGTCATTGAATACGGGCTAGTGGATGGAGAGGGCAGGTTTGGCATCACACCCTCTACGGTAAGTGTGTTGGTATGAATACAAAGCAAAGACAAAAAGAAATGACATAATGTTTTATATTCAATATTGACTTCCTTTGTTAACAGGGTGACATCTACGTCCTGTCTGCTCTAGACAGAGAGACCAAAGACCGGTACACTCTCACAGCCTTTGCCAGAGACAACCCTGGCGGCAGCCCCAACAACCGCAGAGAAAACTCCGTCCAGGTGTGGATGAGCTCCAAAAAATAGGAAATTGAGCCCATTTGATTGCGTCACATCACAATTATGACTTCAAAACATGAAAATAGAGACTTGGTTCTGGCTAGAGCTAGATTTGACTCATTCAGACACAACCAGATGAACCTGTGACATCCTCTTAGTATGGAATCAACCCGTTCTGCAAACTGCAAAGACCAGTTGACCTCAGGCACATAAAATAAAAACCAAACATGGATTAAATGATTTGAGCAAGAGAGGCCGTGACGCAGACCAGGCAGAGTGCACTTCACTTCCACTTCCTGTTTAAGAAGGATATGAAGAGAGCATCAGCTCTGCAAATGAAGTTTCACAAGACGTGAAGACCGTGGGTTGGCCGAGCGTTCAGCCCACACTTCCTCTATTCACTCTGATGATACAAGGAAGTGGGAAGTATAGAAGCAAAACAAGCAGAAAATTAAAATACCATCAGCTGGTGCAAAGTACAATACAAACATTGCATAATACTTAGGAATTATTTAAAGCACCAAATGCACGTATTAATGCACCAAATCGGCCTTGGTCAGTCCAGTTGGCCAGTAACTTTTTGGGAATCATTATTTATCACATTATGTTGTTGGTTTGCTGTATCCTCAATGTGTTCAGAGATCATTTTTGCATTTTTAGCACAGGAAGTTTCAGTTTCATGTGTGCAAAAAGTATCTGAGGTCAGCTCATGCATAACTACAGTACTTGAAAACATTTTTATTTTGGTACTCCATGTTTAACACCTCTGTATCAGATCTCTGAACTTATGTTTCTGTATCTCTCAGGTGCAGCTGACTGTGATGGATGTAAATGACTTCCGTCCACGTTTCTCAGAGAGAGTCTTCACCACTAGTGTGTTCGAGAACGAGCCGGTTGGGACGTCGGTGATCACACTGAAGGCCACTGACCTCGATGAGGGCGAGAATGCATTGCTTACCTACAGTCTACAGGGCCCTGGAGCGGGTACACACTGGCATACAGAGATATATACACACATGGGTTGCGCAATTGGCTCTCTTTTATTTAATGAGCTAGAGTTCACCCACCGGCTGTTGAAATGGAACCGGAAATGGAATGACAGAAAGAGGAATTTAACACATTAGTCCAAGACAACAACCTGAGCAAGAGTAGATCACTTCGTAGATGTTCCACCAAGACACATAAAATGATCAAATTACAGTGTTTCTTCTTGTTTTATACCTTGATAACAAAGCAATTCAAGTTCATGAAATGACTGTGAGTACAGCGTTTGATATTCCTGCTGATGTCTCTTCCTCTCTCTTTTACAGATGCGTTCTCTCTGGATCCTGACACTGGGCTGATTCGCTCCCTGAGGTTACTGCAGAGTTTTGAGAGGTTTAATCTGACTATGGTGGCGACCGATCATGGCAGACCTCCCCTCTGGGGCACCGCCAGTCTTCAGATCACCGTCATAGATGTCAATGACAACAGGCCTGTCTTTGTGCGGCCTGCCAATGGCACTATCATGCATATACTAGAGGTGTGTAACAGTGAAAAAAACAATCACTCATTTTTTTTTATTACTAAAGCATATTGTCATTTCGTTATGTTTCGATCCACCTATTTTTATTCAAATTTTGGGATGTTGCATTAAAAAAACGTTGCATGGAAACAGCGAGATGTGCAAAATTCCAAAAAAAAATTCTGATAAGACGACATGCGCAGAAACTATAATGGAAACACATTTACTGAATAAATCCCTTGATGCGCAACAAAACGCTTTTTACCTCTGTTGAGGTAAAACATGGCTTTACCTCAACAGAGGATGTGATTGGATAATTGGATAACTTAAAATCGTTCACCCTAATCATTTGGTATCATTTGGTATCACACGATCACGCTCCCAGACACCAGGCATTCGAACGCAAGATAAAATGCCGCCATTTATTGAGTTTCGTCTGTGCGCTCTGAGATGCAAGTCACTTCTGATGTAGGAAAAAAGAGAAAAAGATCCACCGATTGCAGCAGCTTTCATTTTTATTACAGATATTTTGCGCCAATTTCCCAGGAAGTGACAGATTTGTTCTCTTGAAAACATGCTTTGTTCTCTTGTTTTATGTGATATTCCAATTTTGTGAATTTTTTGCAACTAAATTTGCGACTTTGAATGGAAACAGTATTGTAATTCAAGGCAGGATTCCTCACTCATCTTACAAAGTAACGTAGACTCACTGTATTCCGGACATCACGGTATTCCGGACACTTGACCTTTTTTCGCAAATTATATAAATAAACACTTTCAGGTCACGGCGTATATACATATCCGTGTCATCTTTGCCTCCTCCTCTTTCGATTCCGACCAACCTTATGCTTCCAGAGCCAGACGTTTCATAGAAATCAACGCGAGTTTCTAACACACACCATTGACTGTTCAGAAAATGACGAGGGGAAGGTTTTCCGGCAGGACAAATGGACGAGGGGATAATATACCTCAATAGAAAACGGCTCTTAAAACACGATCACCCACCAGAAAATGACGGGGAAAAAAACATTCTTATGGTCTTATAAAATAATTATGAGTTACAATTTGCAAATATTTGTACTTTAAGGGCTTAAAAAAATAATATTTAAAATTCTTAAATATAACTTTAGAATATAATGCTCAAATGAGCAATTGTCAATTAAAAGAGTGTATAGACGCTTATACAACGAAGTTAAGAAGATTAATATGATTAATTTACCAACTTATAGTTGTTAAAATGTATGCGTTTTATATTAGAAATTACTGTCCGAAACACAGTGAGTAGAAATTTTCAGCTGTCCGGAACACCGTGAGTCCTCATGGTAATCCGGACACTGCGTCTCCCGGCAGTTTTTTTCAAGATTTCTCTAATATGATTAGCTCAAAATGTGTCAAACAAACTTTGAAACGTGTGGAAGGCGTGTCCCCAGAGACAGACGAGCAATCAGGTTTATCTTTCAGCGGGTTGATATCTAAAAGGACGTTTTACTGTGCAAAGTGTCCGGAATACAGTGAGTCTACGTTACAACTCAAGCACTTTGATGTGTTCTCAGCTATTCCTTCTTTTGGCTTCGTCATTGTCTTTCTCGCATCCCAGGGTACATCATAGGAATGTACTTTACATCTGACAGCCAGACTGAAAAGATCATGTTGCTTAAAAGAGTGTGTCAAATTTAATAGTGAAGGCCTTTTTTCCCCCTGAGCCGAAGTGATGAAAACAACCCCAGTGTCTCAGAGGTGTTAGCCATAGTGTCATAGCAGATAGTATTTTGAGTGCAATCTTCAAAACAATCTTTAAAACTGTGGTGCGTCATAAAATAACGTAATGTCTAAGTAGGTACTACATTTGAATTTGATTTTTGCACACTCCAGAATCTCAGAAACTACTGTTTTTTGAATGCTATGTATTTGGATGCTCTTTTGGTGCATTGTTTTTCGCATACTACATAGTAGGTAAGTATTCAATTTCAGGTGCAGCGTTGGATTAGAATAAAAACAGACCTTTTTATGGATAAACAGAAATAAAAATTAAGACATTCCCTGCTTGTGATTTGACTAAAATCTATACAGGGATGAGTTTAATACACATGGAGGTTTTGCCGTATTTGATGCCCCATATCTGGATTGTGATAGATTGGATGACCTTTATGTGGCATCATGAATGAGTGAGCATTCTCTTGTGTATGTGGATGCAGGAACAGCCTCCTGGACTGGTGGTGTATGAAGTGTTCGCCACAGACGAGGACGAGGGGGTGAATGGAGAGGTCCGCTACAGCTTCCTTCAGACTGGAGCCGGAAACAGAGACTGGGAGAACTTCCATATCGATGCAGTGACGGGAGTGATCACCACTGCGGTTAAACTGGACAGAGAGAAACAAGCACTGTACAGCGTGAGTCTTTCTTTTTAAACAAGGCAACTGAAAAAGATGACAAAATTTAGGACACAATTCAAAATAAAAGATAAATGAAAACTGGTCATAAATGGTACACTAACTATTTAAATCTCTGTATTTGTGTGTAGCTTGTAGTAGTGGCGTATGACCTTGGACAGCCAGTCCCATATGAGACCATGCAGCCGCTACAGGTGGCTCTGTCTGACATCGATGACAATGAACCCGTCTTCCTTAAACCTCCGGTAATGTTTTGATGACTGTTTTTTTTTTTCTTCTAAAGATTACATATATTACTCTATTTTTTAAGTACAGACTATAGGCCAGTTTAGGTCAAGTAAGCAATTTCTAAGAAATTCTGTTGAAAGCGGATCAGGCCGAGCGTCACAACACACTTGTAGCCAATCAGCAGTAGGGGGCGTGCCCACTCATGTTGGGGGAGGAGAGATAGTGAGCAAGAGGAAAGACTGTAGAAAGAGAGATGGCTGAGAGACATTACAAAAGAGAAAAGGTCAGAGGAATATCCCTGGAAAAAGAAAGGTTATGATCAGGCAAGAGCTTTAGGACCCGTGTTAACATTAGAAAAGCTTTCCAGCACTGTAGAGACTAAAGCTGGAAGACCTGAAAACGGATGCAGAGATTGCGTAGCTTCTGCTCGAGAACTAAGATATGCTGTTGTTGTAATGTTAGCTGACAGGACAGTTTTAGGGTTATTGTTTGTCTGGAGCTGCTGTGCTGCTGGCTACTAACAACTAACCCTTCCTCTTGTGTGCTGTATGTTCATTTTTTGTTCATTATATTTCTTCACTTCAGCTATGATAAAGACACATCCACTCTTGCATTGCATTTTGGGGTGGAGGGTTGTCTTTGGTTCGAATGGGCTCTATGCACGGCGGTATTTCCGGTGAAGGTCTAAGGATGCTGGATTACTTCCGCCGATCGTAGAGTCCAATGCGATACCAAGAATTTATATTGGATTTTATACTCTATGAAAATGTTAGTCACAAAAACATTGTGTTTATGCTTCTTTTTAAAATTATATTAAATAAACATAACTATATATAAAATTACATCTAAACGTATTAAAGTTTCGTTTCAAAGACGGGAAGACAGAAGACAGGAGACTCTGCCATAATCCCGTTTTCCTCCACTTTAATCTCCCCAACCGGAAACTGAAGAGCATCCTTGCGTCAAATGCGGAACTTATGCGTGCATATAGTCCAAATCAACAGTTTCTCAGTTATTGCTTACTGCGCCTTAAAGAACTTTTACATTATGAAACGTGGTGGTTGGAAATTTTCACACCACTTATTGCTTAAGTCTTGACTTCTGTGTGTTGCGTGTATTTCAGAGAGGAAGTTTGCCGTATCAGTCTCTGTCGGTACCCGAGCACTCGTCTCCTGGGACTGTTGTGGGTAACGTGACGGGTGCAGTCGATGCAGACGAGGGCTCTAATGCTATCGTCTACTATTTCATCGCAGGTGCGGACACAACGTCAAAACACAAAAATGAACCGTGCATCATTATACAATGCTTATCCAATGTTAGGCTCCATTCAGTCTGGATCATCTGCACTGCCTAAAGTACTGCACAGTAATCTCTCTGCCGAACAAATTAATGAAAGAATATACATGATGGTCAGTGAACTTAGTTCTCACACAAATACTTTAGATTAACTATTGGAGGTCAAGACTCTGTCTTCATAGAACATATCCGCCCTGCAGTTGCCAATGAATTCCTCAGTTTGCACAATGTCATTGCATCAGCAGAAGATGCTGAAATTCAGATTTCTGAGAAACTTCACTTGTAAACTAAGCAAAACGATGACTATGTTCAAAATAGAGCACTAACCTACTGCTTTTACTACGTCTGAAGTAATGCCATGTACAGTATGCAAAAGATCTGTATGCATTGGATCCTCAGATGACCTACTGTAGTACATTTGTTAAACTATGTGCAATACAATAAAGATTCCGGTGCTGAAAGATTCCTTCAATCCAGTGCGCTTGACATGAACTTCCATTTAGGCATGATAAATGACTTGGACTAAATTATAACACTGATTTTTAATATCTTTATTAATTCATTATTTGATCAAACTGCCTTTAAGATATTTTTGCACATTTGATAGTATAGCAAAAGCCTCTTAGTAGGCCATGTGAATGTGAGTAGTATTCACTTTGTTCCATTAACTGCATTACTAATGTTTTTCTCTAGGAGGCGATACTGAAGGAAACTTTGTTATGAGTGTGGCCGGGGTTTTACGCGTCAAGAAAGATCTGGATCGGGAAGAAATTCCAATGTATTCCATAATCGTTAAAGCTTCCAGTAACCGAAGCTGGACACTTCTGAGAAGTCAAAGGTCACAGCGGGCCCGAATACTCGACCTGAGCCGTGATCCCACATTACAGGAAGTAAGAATCTTCCTTGAGGACATCAACGACCAGTCTCCAAGATTCACAAAGCTGGAGTACACCGCAGGTGACAGATTTGTTTTATTTTTTACGTTTCTTTATTTCATTATTTGGATGTTAATAATTAATCTGTATGTATTATTTTATTTCAGTTTTCTGAGCACTGTTTGTAGGTTGACTTAATTTTGGGCTTTCATTTATTTTTATCATTAAATAATTATTATTATGGTAGCACTTTTTTTTACAGTCCTATGTACGGTTTTATTACCTAGTTATTGTAACTTAAAATCTCATTAAAAAGTAGCACAAAAAAGTTACCAAGACCTTCATATAACAAAAATAAAAATCTATATTATTTATGATATCAATAATATTTGCATTTATTTAATATTATTATTATATCAATTATATTTTAATATATACTTCAAAATAAATATTTTAATATAAACAACCCCTGGGACAATCCCTATTATATATCTAGTAAACGTGTGTATGTGAAAGCTTATTTGTCTCTCTCTCTCTACCAGGTGTGGCTGCAGATGCTAAAGTTGGCTCTGATCTGATCCGGGTTCAAGCGATCGATAATGACATCGCCAACAACAGTCTTGTTCTTTATCACATTCTGTCCATCCGCTACATCAAACTTCATTCCAATGACTCTGAAGACATGGGCAACGTCTTCATCATCGGTCGGTGTGCTCTACACGTTCTTCGCATGTCTGTTCGTTATTGGTGTTATTTTTACTGACTTTTCTTTCTTTTCAGGTGAGACTGATGGAATCATCCGTACGTTTGACCTGTTCATGGCATATGATCCGGGTTATTTTGTGGTGGAGGTGCTGGCGAGAGATCTGGCCGGACACAGTGACGTGGCTCTGGTGGGCATTTACATTCTGAGAGATGACCAGCGGGTGAAAATCGTCATTAATGAGATACCGGAGCGTGTCCGGCTGTTTCAGGAGGAGTTTATAAACCTGCTCTCAAACATCACAGGAGCCATAGTCAACACTGATGACGTACAGGTAAATGTGTGTTTGTTCTGTCATTATTCATATTGTGATAAATGAGATTACTCGCCAATCTGTACTAAGATCTCCTTTCATGGCCGTGCAAATGAGTTAATTCAGATGTTTCATTCCCATAGTTTCATGTGGATAAGAAGGGAAGAGTGAACTTTGCTCAAACTGATGTTCTGATTCATGTGGTCAACAAGCAGACAAACCGTATTCTGGATGTGGAAAAGTAAGCGTTATATACCAAACATGACTAATACATGTCAAGTAGTTTCTTGAACTTTGTCCCAGGGGCTGCTTCTTATTAAAATAACATGTTTTTAAAAGCAATTATGTTTTAAATATTATCATGAATACAAATTTCCAGGAACTTTTTAACACTTTTTAAGAACTTATTTAGATTTTGAGGCTGTTTTTAGATTTTAGTTTTTTACTCTTCATCAAGATCCTGACTTTAATTTCTCCACTATGGCAATCCATCATAAAAATAATGTTTATTGAATGTTCAAAACTTAGATAAGCTGAACAAAAAGTAACAAATAAATGCTTTGTTGTGTACTTCCATAGTAAATTGACTTCTTGCCTTAAAATATTCTCATCCACAGTTGCTTTGATCCATTGAGGGCGATTGATTCACTGAATTGATTTATTGGTTTTCAGGGTGATTCAAATGATCGATGAGAACATGGAGCAGTTGAGGAATCTGTTTCGAAACTACAACGTTTTGGACGTTCAGCCTGCCGTGACTGCACGCGCACCTGATGACCTCACTACTTTACAGGTGTGTGTGTATTTGTAACCTGTGTATTTGCTGTATCAAGCATACATAATATCCAGAACGGACACCTCTTTATCTCTTCCAGATGGCCATTATCATCTTGGCAGTTTTACTCTTCCTTGCCGCCATGTTGTTTATCCTGATGAACTGGTATTACCGCACAGTGTGAGTATTTTAAGAACAGATTAGGTCATGTTTTACATTCTGAATGAACTGAGATTAGTCAGAGGACTTGACACTTTTTAGATTTTTTAGAGAAGAAAGAGGTACCACTTAAGATCCTGTTCTGTCACAGTGACAGAACAGGATTTACCACAGCATTTACGTTTTGTTGCTTGTGTTTTAAACAGGCACAAAAGGAAGCTGAAGGCAATTGTTGCCGGCTCCACAGGTAAAATGCTGGGAATGTCCCATCCCTCCGATTTTGGAGGAAGCAGAGACTAATCCTCACACATGTTGTAGTTGGACAAACATGGCTTTGTGTTAGTGTTGTTGTTACTGTAATCTCTCTCTATCTGCAGGAAATCAGGGCTTGATGGATATTCTGGATATGCCCAACACTAACAAGTACACGTTTGAAGGGTGAGACAGCGATAGAAAGATGTTAATGATTTGAGCCTTTTTTGTATAGCCACTTTTCCCACCATCAGGCCGAACCGTTCTCGTTGCTTAACCATTTCATTCCTCGGATCCGGTACAGCCATTACGGATATGGTTTAATTTTCCGCCGGTTTGGCTGATAACGGAGATCTTTGCAATGTAGTACAAATCCTTACAGATGGCATGATAAGTAAATAGCGCCTGGAGGATGATCAGGTTTTTTTAAATTGTATAATTCACTATTAATTTATTTACTTTGCTCAAATAGTATGCTTGGCCTGCTACAGAGAAATGACCAATCGTGAGTGGCGACGTCACTACACTCATTCTACCAGTACAGTTCAGCATGGTTAGACAACTGTGCTGAGTATTCTTGGCCGAGAACGGTTTGTAATTGTGACATGCCATGCAATCGTGGAACTATAACTGGAACTGTTCCTTGCCATTCTTAGACCCTACAGTAGAAAAGCGACTTTTGGGAAAACCCATCACAGTGAAATTTGACATATTACAGGTTTTGAGACCATATTACAGCTGGGTTCAAGCCCTTTCCAAATCTGTTTTTATTTCTTTTATCGTTTGCCTGTAACAAAAGTTCTGATCGCTATGATTTTCAGAAATAGAATTTGGAGAAAAACAGGTTTAATTAACGGTCACGTCCTGCTAGCAGGACGACTGGTGCTCTTTTTCTATTGCCTTTTTTTCATATCACATATTTTAGTAATCATCATAGATTTATTGAAAACCCAATTTTGACAAAAAAACTGACATTCGATCAGTTTTTAGACCTTACTGAAAATGTACGAGCGTGACATCCGACGGGTTTTCCTAGATCGCATCACATATGTTAACAGGGCTCCAGACTGCTAAAATGGTCACATGTGTGACAAAACATAAAATACTCTTGCTGTGTCATGCTTTAACATATTTGAATGTTGTCGTGTGACAACATTCAAATATGTTAAAGCATAATGTGTTGGTTATTATCTGTCTCACAATGCTTCTCTTTCTCTGTGTGTGTTTATAGAGCGAATCCTGTGTGGCTGGATCCTTTCTGCAGGAATCTGGAGTTAGCCGCACAGGCGGAGCATGAGGATGATCTTCCCGAAGACCTGAGTGACATCGCTGACCTCTGGAACAGCCCGGCTCGCACACACGTAACTAACTCACAGAAACACTGTCAGAATCATTCCACATCACAACATAAAGCTTCTCTTTGTAGAGTTCAGAAGTGGTATCTTGCCTTTGTAGAGTCGAAATTGACATCTTGACTTAATAGGGTACTGAATATATTGCCTTTCTTCCATAGGGCACATTTGGACGTGAGCCTCAGGCCTCTAAACCAGAGGATGACAGATATCTACGAGCTGCCATTCAGGAGTATGACAACATTGCCAAACTAGGGCAAATCATGAGAGAGGGACCCATCAAGGTTAGAACACACACTACAAATCTAACATCTAACTCGAAAATTTCTGATAAAGCTGTTAAGGCTGGAGTACATAAACAAGGTCAACCCAATCAAACCTTTAATAGAAAACAACATGAACAAACAGAAGATGGGATCAGACTCAAACTCATACGATAACATTTCAAATGCATTCCGAGTTTCGAATCACCATTTGTGGTGTTATTTTGTCCAAAACAATGCTGCGTTTGGGACCCTTAAACGTAATATGAAGTGAGATCATGTTCTTAATGAGTTAGGATATAAGACACCACATGACCAATGCTGCCATCCAATCAGGGCTCGCTGCTCAATGTGGTTCTGGATGACTACCTGAGACTCAAAAAGCTGGTTGCTGCTCGTCTGGTCACCAAGTCAACAAGCCACGGTGACCAATCATCAGTCACAGAGGTGGGCGATGTGACAGGGTGCTGTATTTGCTCTTCCTCTACACCCCTCTTCCTCACTGCTGGCTGACTGTCTCCACCCTGTCTTATCAATAGAAACCCTGGGTTCTCCTGCTGTCTAGAGAGACATCTGTGTTCTCCACAATGAGTCATGTGACCCTGCCTTACTTGCTCTTCACTGCTTCACTGATGTGTTTGCTGCTCTCACTGGGTGTTTCCGCTAAAGCTGCTATAAAGTTTAGTTTTTCTGTTGGTAATATTTTTCTTCTTCTTCTTCTTCACCCTGTCTTGAATCCATTGTCCATCCATCAATGTATTATTCAATCCATATCATCATTTATCTACTTTATTATTTCATCCATTCTTCCTTCTATCCACCCATCATACATCTTCAAATTAACCATCCATGCATCTGCTAATCTATAATTCCACGCATTTATCTACGATTTATCTATCTTCCCATCATGCAACCATCCATAAATCCATCCATCCTTCCATCCATGTTTTTCTATTTAACCATCATCAATTTGCGCATCTACCAATCAATAATCCCATGCATCTCTCTTCCATTCATCATCGTATCCGTCATTCCTTTTATCCACCCATCATCCATCCATCCACCAATCTATAAATTCATTCAATCATCAATCAACCAATCAACCCATTAATCCATGCGTTCATGTTTGCATCTATAATTTCATCACGCCCTGCATGCATTCATCACTCTAATATTGCATCCATCCATTCCTCATTTTATCCATCATTCCTTCTGTCCACCTTACATCCATCCTTCAACCAACCAATTCATCTACCCATAATTCCATGCCACCATGCGTGCGTTCATCACTTTATCATTACATCATTTCATCCATTCATGTTCTCCTCTCTCAGCTGATCCAAAGTGACCTGGATGATGATGACGATGAGCGCATTGGTGTCGGGGGTCGAGGAACCCTTCGCTTCAAGCACAAGCTCCCGATCGAGCTCAGGGGTCCTGACGGGGTGCACGCGGTTCACGGCAGCACGGGCACGCTTTTGACCTCTGACCTCAACAGCCTGCCTGAGGACGACCAGCGGGCTCTGGCGCGCTCCCTCGAAGCCCTGCACGCTGACAGCGGACTGTATGCCGAACGCAACGCCCGAACAGAGTCCGCGAAATCAACTCCTTTACACAGAAACAAGGGCAGCGACACTCTGTCCGAGAGTCCGTTAGAGATCACAGAATTATGACTAGCCGAGGCCTCGCTGGTCTGAGAAAACCACAGGGTGCACGCCACTCCTGGCTCTTTGGTTTCCTGAGGAGAGTTGAGGTTTGTAAGGGCCAGGTGTGAGGAGGTGTAGATGTGTGTGACGACCTAAAGAAGGGCAGTTTATCTTGTCAGGGCTATTCAAAGAGCACTAAGACTTTAACCACACACTCAAACTACACTATGAGAAACCAATGCACTCTCAGACCAGTGGAAGGCCAAACACGGACACTAGTTTTTATTTAGTTACTATTTCGTATTTGAATGGGGCACCAGTGAATAACGTGGTGATGTTTGTATAATCGACGATTTGAGCTGCTTATGAGAGTATGTCTCTAGGGCTTTTCACATCACAATTAACCCAGGGTTAAGTAACATTTCACACTTGTAATTTGGACTGAAGCCAGAACAGGATCAGTACAGTATATTGCAGTGCCAGGGGTATGTAGTGTGAAACAGTGCAGTGATAGGAAGTATTGAGGAGTTTAGCCACAGACAACCAATCTTAAATGAAATCATTGAAATATTCATGCACTTCATATGGCCGCCGGAAGGATCTTTTTACACTGTTTAGTAGAAAAAGTTGATATTTAACAAGGCTGAAGAGTGATGGTAAACATGTTAACTGGAGAGATTAAGAAACAGTATTATTTTATTCATTTTTAATGTTTTTTTTTATCTATAATATTTTTCTGAAGACTTGTGGTGTGTTCACACTGAATGCGAATATAATTATTTGCGTGAGTAGATTACATACAGTCAATAGTCAATACAAAGACGCGAATAGACGCATTTTACGTCGCAAATTACGTGACTTTGCCGCGAATGTCTTGTGCGCAAGTTGAAAAACTTGAACTCGGGGTAGATTCAAGCGTCTAACATAAGCGCATTTGACGCTCTATTTGCGTTCGGTGTGAACACAGCGTTATAGGTGAGGTGTTCACGTTCACAAAGCAGATTGGCACAAATGTTCACTGTTTGATGCAGGCATCCCTAACAGGTCCCGTCTGCCATTGGTGAGATATGACAGCGCATGTTGCACTTAACAGATTTTTCTTTTTTGAAGTGATTCCGATCATATTTCAAGCAAATCAAAACCATCATGGCGAACAGTGTGCATCTGAGGAGTCTCAGCGGAAGGAAATAATATAGTTTCTATCGGCTTTAATACATTGGCCAATTTTTTTTATTGGGCCGGTTGTGTGGTATTCTTGACGGATTAACAATGTGAAAACATGCATTGAAAATGACTGTTTTTTTTTTTAGACTGGGTTAACAGTTAGATGTGAAAAGCCCATCTCATATAGGCTACAAAGGAAATACTGTACTGCAAGCTGCTCTGTACTGATGTCCTTTACAGGCCGGATTTAAGACTTTACAGAAATCACCTGATGAACTTTTTAAAAAATTTTGAACTGTCTGAAAAAAGTGTATCTGCATTTAAAAAAAATGGACAAAAAGAAGTTTCATGGACCAATGAGGAAACCAGTCAGCAGACCAAACACTGTTTCCACTTGAACTTACTGAGGCCACTTGTGTCTGGTCAAGTGAACCACAAAGGAAAGAATTATTTTTTTTTTTTTTTTGCTTGAACTGAGGGACTTGTCATGTGTTACGGTTTTAATAAACACGGCAGTGTTTCACTTGTAGTGCTTGTAAGGTTCATGAGATGCCATAACTCAATTTGAACTTAAAAAAGAAAAGTTAAAATATGACAGAACACTGCCACTTAAGAGGGGGGAAATACCATGTTTTTTATTTTATTTTACTTTTTTGATGTATAAAAATAAAGAATATAAAAGATATTTTTGGAGAAGAAAATGCTGACCTACCAAACAGTTGAGTGTAAATGGTTGTATTTTAAGTGTATTTATTTTTCAATATTTTATATCAGATTATTTGAGCGGTGTGTGTTGTATGGCATTATTTTTTTATATTCCCCTTTTTTTAACTTTGTAACTTTTCTTTGTCATATTGTCTTTGAGGCTGTGGATGGAAAATCTTTGTGGATCATGTTTGAATAAAGGAAATATGCAACAGTTTTGCCTCAAGGTCCTGAAGATGATGATAACATATTGACCAAAGCAACAGTCGTCACGAGGACGGCATTCCTTTACGTATTGAAGCCCAGCAGGATATTAAAGTGTGAGTGGCCCTTACATGATGTACACACTGCGCGGACTAAATGAATTTCCTCAGACGTCCCGGTTCATATTGACTACTTGTGTATTACAATCGAACAGGAAAAGAATAAAAACATCCGGATTCCTATTTTAAAAAAATACTGTCGTCACAGTGCAGGATATATTTTGAGGTATAGGAATCGACTGTCAGCCCAAAGTTGTTCAAAATAAATGGAAAGAAATTTTCAGAGGTTATCGTTTTATGATCCTGCTTGATCATAGAAGTTAATACAGATTCTACTGCCATCTTCTGGCAGTAATAAGCGTGCACAGATGCTTGAAATCAAAATGCACTATTGTTATTTTTTATAGAATTTTGCCGTTTATATTAAATCATTTTTTTATGAGTGTACCTCTTTATTTCATTAATGTGCACCCATTATCTTTAATCAAAATAACATCTAGTGCTTTCCAAACGACAATAAACCAACATATAGTGTAAAAAGAATTAAATAATTATAAAGGAAAATAAAATATCTAGTAATTTAAAATTAATAATACAAGTACAATAACACAGATTTAAAAAAAAAAAAGTCCTATTTGAAAAAGTTCCTATTTATGGCAATGGGGCAATGAGACTTAGAACTGAGTGCAAAAATGGAGGCTCTAGACCCTTCCAGAGCTGAGATATTGCGATCCTATGTAGCATTTTTCCCATTATAAACCACTATTGCGGGATGTCCATATCTCAGCTCTGGAAGGGTCTAGAGCCTCCATTTTTGCACTCAGGTCTAAGTCTCATGGCCCTCTATCAGAATCCAGAGTTTTGAGAAGATTGGGGATACTTAATTTTTCGCCCAAAAAAAAAAAAACGTAAGGGGTAACACTGTCGTTTTTTTTTCTGGTCGAAAATTTTGAGTTTCGATATCTCAGCTCTGGAAGGGTCTAGAGCCTCCATTTTTGCACTCAGGTCTAAGTCTCATGGCCCTCTATCAGAATCCAGAGTTTTGAGAAGATTGGGGATACTTAATTTTTCGCCAAAAAAAAAAAAACGTAAGGGGTAACACTGTCGTTTTTTTTTCTGGTCGAATTTTGAGTTTCGATATCTCAGCTCTGGAAGGGTCTAGAGCCTCCATTTTTGCACTCAGGTCTAAGTCTCATGGCCCTCTATCAGAATCCAGAGTTTCAAGAAGATTGGGGATACTTAATTTTTCGCCCAAAAAAAAAAAAACGTAAGGGGTAACACTGTCGTTTTTTTTTCTGGTCGAAATTTTGAGTTTCGATATCTCAGCTCTGGAAGGGTCTAAAGCCTCCATTTTTGCACTCAGGTCTAAGTCTCATGGCCCTCTATCAGAATCCAGAGTTTTGAGAAGATTGGGGATACTTAATTTTTCGCCCCAAAAAAAAAACGTAAGGGGTAAACTGTCGTTTTTTTTTCTGGTCGAAATTTTGAGTTTCGATATCTCAGCTCTGGAAGGGTCTAGAGCCTCCATTTTTGCACTCAGGTCTAAGTCTCATGGCCCTCTATCAGAATCCAGAGTTTCAAGAAGATTGGGGATACTTAATTTTTCGCCCAAAAAAAAAAACGTAAGGGGTAACACTGTCGTTTTTTTTTCGGGTCGAAATTTTGAGTTTCGATATCTCAGCTCTGGAAGGGTCTAGAGCCTCCATTTTTGCACTCAGGTCTAAGTCTCATGGCCCTCTATCAGAATCCAGAGTTTCAAGAAGATTGGGGATACTTAATTTTTCGCCCCAAAAAAAAAAAACGTAAGGGGTAACACTGTCGTTTTTTTTTCGGGTCGAAATTTTGAGTTTCGATATCTCAGCTCTGGAAGGGTCTAAAGCCTCCATTTTTGCACTCAGGTCTAAGTCTCATGGCCCTCTATCAGAATCCAGAGTTTTGAGAAGATTGGGGATACTTAATTTTTCGCCCCAAAAAAAAAAACGTAAGGGGTAACACTGTCGTTTTTTTTCTGGTCAAAATTTTGAGTTTCGATATCTCAGCTCTGGAAGGGTCTAAAGCCTCCATTTTTGCACTCAGGTCTAAGTCTCATGGCCCTCTATCAGAATCCAGAGTTTCAAGAAGATTGGGGATACTTAATTTTTCGCCCAAAAAAAAAAAACGTAAGGGGTAACACTGTCGTTTTTTTTTCGGGTCGAAATTTTGAGTTTCGATATCTCAGCTCTGGAAGGGTCTAGAGCCTCCATTTTTGCACTCAGGTCTAAGTCTCATGGCCCTCTATCAGAATCCAGAGTTTCAAGAAGATTGGGGATACTTAATTTTTCGCCCCAAAAAAAAAAACGTAAGGGGTAACACTGTCGTTTTTTTTTTCGGGTCGAAATTTTGAGTTTCGATATCTCAGCTCTGGAAGGGTCTAAAGCCTCAATTTTTGCACTCAGGTCTAAGTCTCATGGCCCTCTATCAGAATCCAGAGTTTCAAGAAGATTGGGGATACTTAATTTTTCGCCCAAAAAAAAAAAACGTAAGGGGTAACACTGTCGTTTTTTTTTCGGGTCGAAATTTTGAGTTTCGATATCTCAGCTCTGGAAGGGTCTAGAGCCTCCATTTTTGCACTCAGGTCTAAGTCTCATGGCCCTCTATCAGAATCCAGAGTTTGAGAAGATTGGGGATACTTAATTTTTCGCCCCAAAAAAAAAAACGTAAGGGGTAACACTGTCGTTTTTTTTTCTGGTCAAAATTTTGAGTTTCGATATCTCAGCTCTGGAAGGGTCTAGAGCCTCCATTTTTGCACTCAGGTCTAAGTCTCATGGCCCTCTATCAGAATCCAGAGTTTCAAGAAGATTGGGGATACTTAATTTTTCGCCCAAAAAAAAAAAACGTAAGGGTCTAAAGCCTCCATTTTTGCACTCAGGTCTAAGTCTCATGGCCCTCTATCAGAATCCAGAGTTTTGAGAAGATTGGGGATACTTAATTTTTCGCCCCAAAAAAAAAACGTAAGGGGTAACACTGTCGTTTTTTTTTTCTGGTCAAATTTTGAGTTTCGATATCTCAGCTCTGGAAGGGTCTAGAGCCTCCATTTTTGCACTCAGGTCTAAGTCTCATGGCCCTCTATCAGAATCCAGAGTTTTGAGAAGATTGGGGATACTTAATTTTTCGCCCCAAAAAAAAAAACGTAAGGGGTAACACTGTCGTTTTTTTTTCTGGTCAAAATTTTGAGTTTCGATATCTCAGCTCTGGAAGGGTCTAAAGCCTCCATTTTTGCACTCAGGTCTAAGTCTCAGGGCCCTCTATCAGAATCCAGAGTTTTGAGAAGATTGGGGATACTTAATTTTTCGCCCCAAAAAAAAAACGTAAGGGGTAACACTGTCGTTTTTTTTTCTGGTCAAAATTTTGAGTTTCGATATCTCAGCTCTGGAAGGGTCTAGAGCCTCCATTTTTGCACTCAGGTCTAAGTCTCATGGCCCTCTATCAGAATCCAGAGTTTCAAGAAGATTGGGGATACTTAATTTTTCGCCCCCCAAAAAAAAAACGTAAGGGGTAACACTGTCGTTTTTTTTCGGGTCGAAATTTTGAGTTTCGATATCTCAGCTCTGGAAGGGTCTAAAGCCTCCATTTTTGCACTCAGGTCTAAGTCTCATGGCCCTCTATCAGAATCCAGAGTTTCAAGAAGATTTGGGATACTTAATTTTTTGCCCAAAAAAAAAAAAGTAAGGGGTAACACTGTCGTTTTTTTTTTCGGGTTACTTAATTTTTCGCCCAAAAAAAAAAAAAAAAAAACGTAAGGGGTAACACTGTCGTTTTTTTTTTCTGGTCAAAATTTTGAGTTTCGATATCTCAGCTCTGGAAGGGTCTAGAGCCTCCATTTTTGCACTCAGGTCTAAGTCTCATGGCCCTCTATCAGAATCCAGAGTTTTGAGAAGATTGGGGATACTTAATTTTTCGCCCAAAAAAAAAAAACGTAAGGGGTAACACTGTCGTTTTTTTTTCGGTCGAAATTTTGAGTTTCGATATCTCAGCTCTGGAAGGGTCTAGAGCCTCCATTTTTGCACTCAGGTCTAAGTCTCATGGCCCTCTATCAGAATCCAGAGTTTCAAGAAGATTGGGGATACTTAATTTTTCGCCCAAAAAAAAAAACGTAAGGGGTAACACTGTCGTTTTTTTTTCTGGTCGAAATTTTGAGTTTCGATATCTCAGCTCTGGAAGGGTCTAGAGCCTCCATTTTTGCACTCAGGTCTAAGTCTCATGGCCCTCTATCAGAATCCAGAGTTTTGAGAAGATTGGGGATACTTAATTTTTCGCCCAAAAAAAAAAAACGTAAGGGGTAACACTGTCGTTTTTTTTTCTGGTCGAAATTTTGAGTTTCGATATCTCAGCTCTGGAAGGGTCTAGAGCCTCCATTTTTGCACTCAGGTCTAAGTCTCATGGCCCTCTATCAGAATCCAGAGTTTCAAGAAGATTGGGGATACTTAATTTTTCGCCCCA